AAAGTGGTTATCATCAATGTCCAGGCACTTCTGATTATGGTGAACTGCTTGAGCAACGCTGACCAAAGTGTCCATTTGTATACATTTTTTTGGCACCCCCCGGTATTAAGATTATGAGGTTCTGGAGAGAAATGGCTTTCCAGGGGAACTTTCTATTTTATTTTGCAAATTTCTTTCTAGTTAGCGTATATTTTTCTATAATGAGGTGAGGCAGTGTTTTCCAACCTTTTTCTTTTAATATCTTATCTCTAAATGTCTAATTTTTTGTGACTGCTATGTGTTGGCATATAGGGACAAGAGTTGCCCCAGGACAAAAAGTATTTGGGATAACCTTGTGGAAGGGAGCAAACTATTTGTCTGCTGATGGGAAAGTATTTAGACATTTTTGCAGATTTTTATTAGAATAATACACGCTCCTAAAAAGTGAAATAATAGTACAAGGACTGCTGTGAAAGGCACAGTCCCCAGCTTATCCTTCTTGAAGGACATCTGCTTTTGACTGTTGTGGTATTGGCCTTCCAATTTTAAAATATACTTACTTTGCCACCTCTTGATTTTTCAGTTTTAGGCACAATGTATGCACGAGGCTGTATAGTGTAGTTCAGTGGTGCTCAGAGGTTATCTGCAGATCCCTGGGGACCTCCTCCATTCAAGAGGTCCATGAGGTCAAAACAATTTTTTGTAATAGTGCTAAGATGTCATTTACCTTTTTTTCACTGTGTTGATGTTTGTGCTCATAGTGGGTAAAGAAGCAATGGTGGGTAAAGCTGATGTCACCAAGCTGTCATTTTATTCATTATTGCTAAGCAAGCATTCACAGGAAATAATAATGCCAACTTCCCTTAACATTCTTGATGAAGCAATAAAAATTATAAATTGTATTAATTCTCAACCCAAGTATTATGTGTGATGAAATGGGTAGTATGCATCAAACACTTCCAAAGTACATACAGTAGTGTGGTGGATATTTTGAGAAAAATCATGTGTATGATGGAGCTGTGAGCTGACCTAGCCATGTTTTTTCATGGAATGTCATTTTTACTTGAAACAATTACTGACAGTCATCATGGTTAGTCAGCCTGAGGAATGTGGCCAACGTTTTCTCAAAAATGAAATTGCCACTTCAAGGAAAAACTGAAATATTTCTTACCAATGAAGAAGTTTGAGTTTTCAAGAGAAAATCAGAATTTTGGAAAACTTGTATTTACCACCATGAGCTCTCTATAACTTCTCAATAGCTGGACATTCCTGATAGATCAGTGGGATATTAATGAATGTGGTATTTAGACATTGCATGATAAAACATGTCAACATTTGGAAAATATGCATAACTGAGTGAACCCGTTTTTTTCAAATGACCAGTGCGTGCAAAATATACCCTCAAATTGCTAGATAGACCCATGAATTTTATCGCAAGAGAATATGCAAAGTTCATTGATATGATTCCATATTTGACATGTTTACAACTAACCTTTAAGAAATCTTTGTAGAGTTTTGTGTTGTATTAAAAGAAGAACATCCACAATTCTGAAAAGCCTAGCATGATACCCTTAATAGATACAATCAGCATGAACTAAAGGTCGTTGGTGTTCTATATAATAATTTTTAAGAAAACTGCTGTTAGAGTAAATACAAGAATGGACTGTGGAGCTATATTGCTGGGATTTGGTTCTTGACTTTATTGTTAATTAGTTGTGGCTTTTGGCAAGTTAATCTCAGTTTCCTCATGTATAAAATGAGGGTGATAATGATAGCAAGGGTTTATGAGGATTAAATAAATTAATAGACATGAAGTACTTACAGTTGTGCCTGGAATATGGTATGCTTTAGATTTATCATTCTTGTTACTTCTGTGAAAAATGAAGATTTTGCTCTCTAACATCTCCTAGCCATACCTGTCCCANCCCATCCAATCGCTCAACCCACAGAGGGAACGGCTGCCGTCGGGATGGCTGATTGGGTTAGAGCCATCCCATCGTTCTATCAGGATTGGTCAAATGATTCTTTTCGAAGTTTGTAGCATCCAATCGGAAAACGGGAGGTGGCTTCAAAGTCCCAACTGAAGGGTTCCTCCGCGAAGCTCTCACGGAAAATAGTTCCTCTGGACACAGGTTCGCAGCTGTTTTCTATGGTTAGTGCAAACCCGTAGTTAGCAATGGCCTTTCTCAGAGCCCACGAAGCCGCTCCTGTTCCTGGGACGGCGAGGTAGAGGGAGGGTTCGGGGTGCTCTCAGACACGTGCGGGTGGCGGCGGCGTACACATTCGTAGAGCAACGTCGCGACGCTGAGGAGGCGGGGCCGGCGATTTGAATCCGGCGGCGGGCGGCAGCCGTGCTGAGTTGAAGTGTAAGTACGTGTGCTGCGGAGTCGGGGTGTCGGCGGACGCGGGGAGGCAGCCCCGGCCGCTGCTTGGCGCGGCCAGCAGTTATGTTCTTGAACTAACCCTTCAGGACCAAAGAGCGGCGGTCTAGAGGTCAAGGCGGCCACGACACTCAAGTGCGGCGGGGCGTTCAGAACAAACTCAAGCGGGAGGAGAGCCAAACTGCGGGAGTGAGAGGGCAAGTGTCCTGGTCTGGATTTCAGGTATAGTACAATACAACAGAGCTGTTTCATCGGCGTTTTCTCAGAAGTGTCTTCTGTGTATCGTGCCCCACGGAAATGAGTGGTTCTCCTGCGACCTGAACTGGATCACCCGTGTGCTTCCTAAAATGGAGAATCCTGGGGCCCAGCCAGACCTCCTGAACTAGGATATCTGGGAATCCACAAAGCTGCGTCTTGAGCTGGGTACCCAGATGATTCAGGTGTTTGCTGAGTGATTAAGCTGAGATGATTAAGGTTTTGAAAAGCCATGGTTTATAGTATAGGGTCTGCTTTGTTTCATCCCGAACAGCAGTTTCTCTAATTTGAGCTCCAAAAGTACTCGCGACATCTATTTTCATGCCAGTAGAGATTGTATTAGAACTCAGTCTTGAATGGGGATCTTGTTCCAACCGCGTTAATCTTGGGGGGGGGGGTATTTTTCTTTTTTCTTTCCCCTGTGTTTTTTAGATGGATACCGATTCAAATGACAGCGAGCTCCCTGAAACCAAAGAGGCTGCTGTTAATAATATTGGTATGTAGTGACCTGTTGCCGCCTTTTGAAATGTAAGGCTTAGGTATTTGTCTTGATAATGATGCTTAGCCCCCTACAACATGTCTATTTCAGAAAACGCCGCATTCCTTTTGGGAAAGAAAAAGCTTGTCACTCCTCAGAAGCATGCAACTGAAGCGACTCCTAATCTTTGCACACCGGATACTTTTAAATCACCTTTGGACTTTTCCACAGTAACTGTAGAGCAGCTGGGGATTACACCTGAAAGCTTTGTGAAGAACTCTTCAGGTAAGAGAAGTTGTCTTTCTGTCGCAGTGCTTAAAAATAACTTTAGCTCAGTTTTGTTCATTTACCGTGTATGTCTGTTTTGTTACCTTATGTGTGTAAATGAATTGACTCTGCAAACTTGCTTGATCAGGGAGCCTTGTGTGAACATGCAGAGTTCATCCAGCATAGCAGGAGACCATGGCCGTCCCAGGGTACCTAGCATGATTTTCCTGAGTCAGAGCTGTGCTTTGTGCCCAAACTGGAAAAGAACATGTGTGCAAATCACTTTTGGACCTGACACATGGGATACAGGAGTGTGTGTACTATAAATAGTAAGACATGTTTGTGGGCACATATGCCAAAAATAAGAGAAAATTGAAGAGCAGGTGAGAAAATATTACATTAAGTTGGGATGTGCCTCTTCAAAATCACAAACAGAAAATTGGCTCTTGCTAATCTTCGACG